CAAACTTTCCAATCTACCGTAGACCGGCAGTATTATTACTAAGAAAAAAGATCCCCCAGTAGCTCAGTAGAAATATGCCTGCTTCACGGCGCCGCGGAACCGGTTTCAATCCCCACTGTAAGCGTGCCATTGTTTTTAGGCATTCTACGATATTTACATTTCATTTTTTTTTAATTGACACTGAAAGACAAAAAGGTTGTGGACGAAACGTCGCTGAACTAAATGATATGGGATTTCCTTGTTGACACGTGCGAACTCAATGTAATCGCTTTTCACAAAATGCAAGGAGCATATAAATCGGGCAGCGTCCACTTTCCGAAGGCGGAAATGTTCTACAGGAATTGCAGCCAGCCATTGGTCCCGATTCCGTTCATCTTTCGGGAACTTGTGGACGCTTCTGCCGCACAAAGCCACTTTTTTCGGACGCAGGACATGTGAGGCAGCTTTTCACGCAACATCTTGGGGGTATTCTTCTCGGAGCCGATCACGGAAATTCACCACAGGTACTTACTACTCATCTCCAACTTCTCTATCTATAAAACAGCTCATCTTGAAGTACAGAGCAGCGAGCGGAACAGATATAACGGCAAAGGAATAGCAGGGCAAACAGTTACCGCCACGCATGTCGTCTGCTGCGAAAAAACTAATTGAAGGAAAAAAAAAAGCGCGTGGTTGGGTGTAGCCACGTGACTTCCGCCACTCACTCTCTCATTTCCACTGCTCCGACCTCCATGCGCGGGTTTCAGTTTCGGTTTCGAGCAGTTGCGTTTTCTTGGCTTTAATAAAAATGTATGTGACTCTGTTGCAACATATGAATTGGGTAGTTTTCCAATACCATAATAAATCGCCTGGCAAAAATTAAAAAAAAAAAGATTAGGGGTGTCAGGTTTTTTTTAAGATCTAAGTGCCACAAAATGTGCAAAAAAAAAAAAAAAAAGCTCTTTGCTAGGTTGAAACACACTTACTAGACTGATGTGTAGTGAGAACTAAATGTGTAAAGATAAAAAGTTTACAAAACTGTGAATAAGGTAACACAAAGTCAATCTCGGCCCGATTAGGCTTAGCGTATTGCACGCTCTCGCGCAACGCCGTGATGCCCACCATGGACGATGAAGAAAGATTGTAGACTGCCACTCAAGAGACAACGATAAATTTACAAGTTGTAGAGCCTCGAACATCCGCAGTGGAGTAAGTACGTTTCCTCTTCCGTCTTGTTTTACGAAATAATAAATGAACGAACACTATTTTCTGAATAGGAGTATTGACATACCATTATTGAAATACAAACTCTACTTTCAGGTTCATATGACGATTTCTAAAGGTATCCTAAAGCCTAGACTGAAGAAAAAATAAACATGTAAAAGGAAGACAATACAACCACCTCTTTCGTCATGTGTAATATGATGTAACGAAATACAGATGTAACATGTCTCTTTGGTCTGACTTGTTTATTCTTTCTTCAATCATGGCCCCCACCAACACGGTCTTCATTCATAAGTGTCCTAAACCTTCTTGTTTTTTCTAAATAATGATGGTTACGAAATGAAGTCCAGAACTGCCTGTTAGGCAATCTCCGTCTTCTCCCTTTATATTCCATATAGGTGGTTAAAAATCTACACCGACCATTAGACCCACAGGCAACCAAACCATTAGGCCGTCAGATGTAACAAAATACAATCAACCATCAGACCAACAGCCTGATGGACTATCATACATTTTCTTATGGTCCTTTTTTACTTTTATTTTTTTATTTTTTTTTTTGGGGGGGGGGGATTTTTATGGACGGAACGTAACAAAAAAGAGTTCGGAAATTGGGCTTAACGCTAATAGCTGATATTCCACAACAACTAGTGTTTTCATCAATTTTACACCTCAACCAACCTTGCCACAACCTTACAGTCAGGGGCTGTCCTGCGTGACAAACCCTGATTGTTGTGTCCAGCGCGTGCATGTAATTTTGGTCCCTTAATTTACGCATAGCTACATCACTCATGTGTCAGGATGTTTCTGTCGTGACCTTGACAGTACCTCGACAGCGAAGGCGGATTGAGTGGACGCCTGCTCTAGGGTAGCTTTCGCTCTGGAGCCAAACAGCCAATGGAAAGGTGTGCTCACAGCGTAGGGTACGCCAGGAGGACTCCAACCCTTGCGTGCGGTCACCTTTCTTGCACACATTTCGACAAAGTACCACCAGGATTGCGATATCCGACGCCATGACGCACCAGTCCTTGCAATTAGATTGCTTATCATTTCCAAATTACTTTCGTCTGCCTTTAACGGATGTAGTGTCTTTGTTTACTCGCCAGATGTACCACCGTGCTATTGTTTTTCTCTGATCTCATCCAATGACGGCGCGAGCTTGGCTGCTTCGTCATCACTCGTTCCGCATGCGTTCCTTGTGTAACCATCTGGCGGGAGTCCAACCTCCTTATGGTCTAATGCACCAAGGACGCGTTATGGAACACTTCCTCGCCGAATAGGAGGCACAACACACATGCCCAAGATGTGTTTCATGCACTATGCGGAGGGCAAGTTCGTCTACTTCTTGCGCAGGGGGTAGCGGTGACGTCAGAACGCCGAGCCCTGATTGGCTGATCGCGACCCCCTATTGAGCGTCGTTTGCTCCTTTGCAACGTCGTCTGCTCGCAACGTCGTCTGCGTCTGTCTTACTTTCCTGCGACTTTCGGAAGCGCAGAGGCCAGATTCACGAAGCGATCTTACGCCAAAACTCTGCGCAAGACAAAACTTAAGAACAAATTCGTATTCACGAAACGAAATTTTCGCAAGTTTTGCGCAGGTTACGACGAAATCCTACGGCAGCTCCGAAGCTGTCTTACGCACTTCTTACGATCAAATCAGCATGGCCGACAGCATCGCGGTCGCGACGACCCACGGACGTTTATTTTTCTACCTGCGCTTTTGACGCGTCCCGTCTTCAAGCAGCAAGAAAAAATTAACAAGTACTTAAAACAGACCACGACGAACAAGAACGCTGGATCCACAAACACCCGGGAAAAGCACCAACGGCCACGATTCCACCGAACGCGACCAAACGAGCTGGGCAGTTAGGCCTAGCAGGCACTCCGCGACTCAGCGGCCGTCTGCCCACGACCGGCTGGCGTGCAGAATGGAATATGCCCGCGCGACCCTTGTGAACCTTTCCCGTATTATACTTTGATCGCTGACCTCAATTTTAGATTAAGAGGTCAATTCCTTCCTCTTGTTATCTTCTCGCTTCCCGAGGCAACGGTGACTCTCGCCGGTGAAAAAGCGGTGAATCTCCGACAGACGCAGGAAAGGTAAAGCAGCCATCGCTTTGTCTAGCAGACGTAAAGCAGACGACGTTAACTGCGCCAACCTGCCGACGCCGTTAAAGAGTGAGGGGTCTCGCCGCACACGAATGGAGGGAAAAAGTATTATGGAGGGAACTTGCGGACACTAACACGCTCACTCTCGGTTCTAAGCAAACAAACCTCGGCGCCTCGGGACACCTCGCCAGTAAGTCCTTTGATTTCCCTGCTTGATGCGCGTCTGCTAGTTGTTAGACAAAAACAACGTACCGCTCGAGTTATTTCGTCTGCCCTCTCTGAAAGGCGAAGTCGAACTCGAACTTCCGAAAGTCGCAGGAAAGGTAAGACAGACGCAGACGACGTTGCGAAGGAGCAGACGACGCTGAGATAGGGGTCGCGATCAGCCAATCAGGGCTCGGCGTTCTGACGTCATCGCTACTTCCTTTCTCATGCGCAGAAGACGAAAATGAGCCCACTTGTGAAGCGTATAGCATAGGGACCAAATAATAAAACACTTACATCCACAGATGCAAGCACGAACGCACGTTTGGCTTCGAAAAGGAAGTGTGTCTCACAAAAATAGAAGTAGTGAAACTACTTATTTAAGTTAGTGTTTAAATCACTTCGCACAGGAGTAACTACAATATTTATGACTCATTTGTGAGGTTAGTTGAGTAATACAATATAGCTCCTCAGGAATGTATTTTTTTCTATAATACAACTGCTTTTTTAGGCATGTATTATAAAGTAAACTATATGAAAGGAAAAGTTTTACTTTCATAGAAAAGTGTTTTACATGTCAAGAAACCAAAAAATACAATATAGAACGGTAAATGAGTACGCCATCTGAGTCACAAAGCGAAACACCTTGAAGAATAAAAACACCCGGCGTTCAAGAGGGGACTCGTGAAGTACAAAGTTCATTTCTATAGACGATTTTAAGATAAACCAATTGAAAAGCAAATATTTGCGCGATTGGGAAGTGGAAGGCTGGCTGATGTATTTGGGAACAGGAAACGGCGCCAGAAAACATGTTGACTGATTTCGTCGTAAAACACCAGCTATATGATGATACGTAGAATAACAAACATGAACATAAAAATGTCACTATCTGAATGCCTGTGAAATTACTGTTCACAAAACGCTCCTCAAAATATGGCTGCCAGAAATCTCGCTATTAAATTTTGCCTCTTCTGCCTTATAATTTGCTTGGCGAAGGAAAGGTATTAGGGCCCGATGCCAAGGACGCCTGACAAAGTCCTCTTTAAAGAAAAATCATATCTTCTTTTCCCCTGTCTAGATTTTTGTTTAATTTTCCTACGCGTTGTGGTCTTTTTAATATGTGTTTTCTCTAAACATTTGTGGGCACACTGTCACAGTTAGAAGAAACATTTTTTTTTTAATTTAAAGTTCATACACACTTCTACTAATGCTTATTAAGCGCGAGACACATGAGAGACGAAATCAGCGAGATACCTAGATTTTCCTGAGCCTCCTGAGCCTCGCCAAACTCGGTCCTCCCTCTGACGCGTTGTACGAACCGTCGAGCATTTTGTCCCTAATGTTACTCTTCTGTAAATTAGGCTAGATTGCGACCATTTGAATAATCGTTGATAGCTCAAGTAGAAGACTGGAGTGAGTGTAGATGACACTGCATATTCCTGGTTACCCCTAAACAAAAAAAGTGGGCAGCGACCGGTGAGTACCGACCTCAACGTGGTCCAGGGGTGTCCCGATTGTCCGAATCCAGCGATCTGTTGGCTCATCTGGGTTCGTGCTGCTGAAGATCGGACTGGTCTCGGTGGCACCGTACATGATCTGAAAGGTCGCACCATTGTAAGGCGTAAGATAGCAGACCTAGGAAGCATGAACGCATGTCGTAGTAAAGAGACTCGCTTCAGAATTGTTTACGTACGTATACAGCTTGAGCGTTCAGTCTTGTTCTTATTTTTTCCACAATGACAGGATTACATAATGACCCGGACATGATTGCTGCGAAAAATTTTGCAAACGTGAGAGGGTATTCAGGAAAAGTGAATAGAGGAAATGTCAGGCAAAAAACAAGCAAAGTGGGGTAACGACAAAGTTCAAACAAAAAGACGAACAAGCTCGTGGCTACTCCAGAGAACTTCAACCACAACCAAATCCTTTAAGGTATGAACCACATCAGAGTAGTTGTGAAATAGGATTCGCACTTCCATTAGAGTATTGAGGTCATACCCAAATCGCCATGAGACGCTACGAAGAAAACCTTCTAAAGAAAAGCGTCGTCGATGCCGTCAATTTTAAATTATAATCAATCATACATTTTGTGACAGAACGTTTTGCATCAAGAGTTTGAGTAACCACATTGAACGGCTTTGGGTGACGGGTAATTTACGGTATACAGGTTGGCATTTGAAAGTTTTAAATAAAACAGGTACAGTTTCCCTTAAGTGCCACTCAATGCTAGTTTCTTATATACTATGCAGAGGATGCCTATTTTCACCCAGACGAGAGCAGTGGTTTAGACATTCATTTGGCTAGTCCCCAGAAAGAGTCTCACCGTGCTGTTCCGTTCCACTAGCACTGTAAAATCATGGTCAAAACAAGTAAGTATAGCAACGGGTGCTGTCTTGAGCCCAAAAAACCTTCCAGCGGAACTCCCTTGATGTTACTTCTCTAGCGATAATTTAGGCTATCTTGGCCAACGCCACAATACACCCCCACTGCCCCCCCCCCCCCTTTTCCCGCGATCACGGCCGACCGCGCATAACGCTTTGACCGTGTTAGGTTCTGAATAGACTGCAATACGCTGAGACCGGTTCTGTCCTAGACAAATGCAGACTACGGAGAGTTAAACAAAGTCGCTGCCGACCAGGAACTGGGGTCAGTTCCCCCTTTGTTTTTGTCACAGAATAAAAAGGGGTCATTTGGCTTCATGTTAGGGGCAGGCTTGTCCCTTAAAGTGTTTGTTTCAGGTTCGGAGTAATCTGTTATTCGTGGCTCTACGTCGCTGAGGCAGGAGTGTGTCTGCCTGTGTAGCTTCACGCATCCCATGCAGGTGGCAATTGCGGCAGGACGCCGTTATTTTAAAGCAGGAGCAGCTGTGTAACTGTCTCATATGAATCAGCTCCCCCAATTTTGTTCAACACAGTACAGAAGCAAGCCTTACCGACAAGTCCTGCGGCCAGTGGGACATTTTGTTGATAAGGTGTTTCTCGTTTAAAGACCAGGGCAGATAAACGACTAAATTCCCGACGCGTCGTGTGACACGTTGGAGAGGTGTACTAATCCCACCAGATTTTGGGGGGGGGGGGGGGGTGCGGTAATCAGATAGTGGCCCGCATTCACTTGACGCAGTGATGGGCTGAAGCCTGGTCGATGTGGGCCACATTTGTGATACTACGTTGTGTGTTCCATGTTAAATGCGATAGCCTTCATATTGGTAGGAAGCTTCGAAAATGTTGATCTGTAATTCGGAACAATTTCTTTCTCACCTCCTTTTTTTCTCTTACAACCGCAATCGCCTACTCTCCTCTCCTTCGCATGCGCATGCGCGGGCCATGTGTTATTCCGCGCCTTCGTCATTAGACAAGCGGTAGTGTGATTTGCAGTTGTCCAGGTGGATACGCGCATGTCGCTGTTGGCTCCGCTCTAGAATAAACTAAAAGTCAGGGGCTTGTTAGAAGTGCTCCGGTTGTCATCACATCGCCTCGCAAAAAAAAAATAAAAAGGGGTGGATGGGGACATTGTTGAACAGAACGGGTGGCGCACTGAGGATAAGATCGTTCGTCATGCGAATGAGATGTTAGAAAAAGAAAACTGATCATTGTCTTTGCGTGAAAACTGATCAGTGTGCTTTGCCTGATGTACTAAGACGGGCTCGTGCTGATACAAATGAAAGCTGATTGGGGGAATGAAGTTCGTCTCAATTTAATCAGCAGGATACGTTCTTTAGAGTGAATAAATTCAGCGTGATGCAATGCAAAACTAAAACGCATGACCGGTTTTATTTTTACAGGCTTATTATTGTTCAAAATTGCACCTGAGGTTGAGTTCAGTCTGTAAAGCAAGTGCCAATGGGCTAATATCAAAATTTAAACAAATAATTATACGCCCATTTTGAAGTATAAAGAACACGAGGGTATTTGGGATACAAAAGTACCTAACGTGGTTCTAACTAGACCCTACACGCAGTTCACGTACATTAAATGAGCTCTTTCCTCTAAAAGCACGTGAAATAATATTCGCACTTTCCGATTTTCGCACGATTTAAGGACAGATCTTCGCAGATTTCTTGGGGCTTTTCCTTTTGGATGGAATATCACAAAGGTTAAGAAGAGAGAGTATAAATTTTACTTTTGCACCCACTCCACAAACTGCACAAGCGTGAATCCATCCAAGCCGATATAAAAATAACTTATCACGTGCGTGTGGTCTTCACTGCATTCTGTGATAAAGTGAGCCAAAGTATACGCAGTACCAGAAAGTAGGACGTTAAACTATTATTAGATGAAACTTCCATACCTTTTCTAACGGAAGAAACGTCGTATGATCCTTCTTCAAGCTTACGCATTATATCGGAGAATATGCTGGTTGAACCAGTGGCGATCGTGCATCTGGAATATTGAGCGTACTTTTGGACACAGGTTACCGATGCATGAACGATCAAGCTTAAATGTTCGGTTCATGGAAGAGCTTTAGTATGCTCATGATAAACTTCGAATCGAAGCACAGGTGAATGTTGTAGTTTCTTCATCATTGAGGATGCTTGGCAAAGTGTCCAGAAATACAGGGAACCCGGAAATTGTAATAGTACTGTAAACCTCTTTCGTCTGCTCGACATTGGAATTTTTATCTCCGATGTGGAATGCCATTAGTTTGTCTAGATTATAGAGTATCGAAAAAGTGCAGGCACATGTTATTTGTTTGATTTACGACCCTTACCTTGGCAAGCAATATATTATTTTAATACCTGGCTACTTTATAAATTAAGAATGATCACACTTTCACAAAAAAATATTAGGGACTTATTATATTTTTGCACGAACTATCGAATGGCGGAGTAGCTTTCGCAGGCCTGCTAAAATACATAAGCATTCCTGTACCATCTCGCTTCTTGAGATATAATAAACTTTTATGTTCTTAGATATAGAAACCGCTCGCCTCTCACAAGAATGGTGGACCTGTACAGAAATCTTACGTCAGCTGCAAATTATGTCTTTCATAGTTTTAACGATTTTTAAAATGCAGTGGTAGTGGAAATTACATAGAACATCGGCATTTCAATATTGTCTTTGTACTTTCATTATTTCAGTGTTGTATCGCTTCTTTTCTATGTATTATGGTATAGCACTTTTAAGTCCTTTAGCTGTTGGGGGCATTTTTAACTTACGGATAAAGAAATAAAAAAATATTTGCACTATAGTGATAAAAAAAACGTGACACAAGAAGCAACGGCACTCCTCTTGTAGAAAAATGCCGGGCTAGACTAAATGTCTCTCTGACATCGAGGTCTAATTGCAGACGGCCTCAAAGTGAATCAGAAGAAAGATGTGCGCTAGATTGCCACAGTTAACAATACGTTAAGTGTTAAGAGCATGGGTTCCTAGCTTGGCTATAGTATCACTGTTAGAGTAGGGACATTCGTTTTTAATACAAAACCGAAAAAAACGGGAAATATTCGAAAATATATTGAGCGATCATATAACCTGTAGTTGGTGATGGTTCCCAGGGTCGCTTTCGGTGAGAATCTAGCTCCAGGCATAACTACGGTCGAACCGAACATCGTGGCAGCCAACACGCCCAATGTTCTGCCAAATCCGTAGATCAGATCTGCGTTCAAGCACATGATTTCACGCTGCAAAAAAGAACAATGGTTTGTATTTGTGAAACAATCCAAAGTAAATATTTCAGTTCTGCACAGCTTCCCATTTGCCCAGACCTCGCAGATGAATCGAAGTGGCCGATATTATAAAGTGAAACCTTGTATCAAACTACGTTTGCACGCTGAGATTGCAAAAAGCGCACAAAGTGTGGATAGGTTTTGTAATGCCTGAAGGTGTGTAATACTAATCTATTTGCTGGGTTGAAATTTCAAAGTGAAAGCAACAAACTTGTTTTCTCATTGCATGTTGCACCAGAAAAGATTCTCACGTTAAAGTCAGTACTCGTGCATTCCTGAAATCATTCTCTCTTCATTCCTGCAGTTATTGCAAGCACCTTTTCTAAATTCAATTGTGTGACGTCATGGAAATAAATAAGACGATTTTTTGTATTATGGACTGGAATCAACGGGTTGGCAACTGTTGAAGAAGAAACAAACAGTAGCCTGTTGTTGAGAGAGCGTGCATTATTGCTGAACGCTATTCAGCAAGTTATTTCCACCAGTGGTTTTCTTATATGTTTGATGCAGAGCGCCCCAAGCAATCATACTTATAACTTAACACGAAGAGCTCGGTTTTTTCGGCCAAGAAGCTTCGAGAGAAAACACTTTTTGGACGCGCTTTTTCTTCGGACTGCAGCAAACTTTCTGATTATGGCAAGAAACCCCTCTCGCTATTCATTTTGTCTGAAATGTAGGGTAATGCCGATCGAGTTGCTCCAATTTCAGACGACGCAATTCGTTGCACTTCTCAATATAAATTAAATAACACCGGAATACCAACTTTTGCAAGGGCGTATGTCTATCCTTATACTAATGGATAATGAAATCCAGGGATATCACCATGACGACCGCGTCTGAAAAGAAGATCGAAGACTGCGCGTGTGCGGCAAATAAAGACAAATCTAAAATTGTTCTGGTTTGCTTATTTTCATAATATTAATTATCACTATTTGGAACAAGGAGTGTTGATGTGTGCCATAAAGGCCGGAGGTCCGTACCAGCTGGCCTTTTTTGCGAAATAAAATTTGGTGAAATTACAGAATAAACAGCTTATTTAGTTTTTGCCAGGCATCTCGTATTCTATATTCTTAACCTGCTCAATAATGCTGAAGTGCGAAAGACTCCTGAATGAACTCCTTACTTGTGACTTAAATCTATGCGTTTTTATATTTACGTTTCCCCGAACTCTCGCGTTCTGTCAAATCCTGCATCCCTCCGCTGTCGGACTGTGCATCTGCAGGGATTCCGGGGTACATTCGGCAATGTACTGAGACCAAAATTCGGCACTCTTGAATGATTCAGCAGATAAGCAGATGTTAATAACACCTTGAATAAAAAGTTTCGGTTCCGAAATGCAGATTGGACGAGAGGTTTGACGCATGAAAGGCAAACAGTTCGACCGACTGGCAGGTCTTTTTGACCGTCGAACGCACAAGCCTTAGTTTGTCTCCTTTTGGTGCCCGTTTGAGCCCTTGCTGCGTTGATACCGCCACACTCTGAATAAATGACTCCCAAATATTTCGAACTATAGGAAGACGAGAATAATGTGTAACGACGGCCGCGATGAGTATTGCTGAAAGAAAGTCGTTGAGGAATTAAACCTTGAGGGAGACTGAAATAAAAAAGAAATATACAGAAAACATTTTACACCTCGAGCACTTTAAACGGCGGCTCTTAATTTGGGGCCTGCTATTAATCCGGTTATATTCGCCAACGGTGATAACAAGCTTGCAGTGGTTATATACATATATCCAATCCTTATTACACACGCAATAAAACAAATTTCGCTTACCTTCTGTGTACTGTCATACAGAGTTACCATCAAATGAATGAAGCCCAACTTTTCCATTGAATTGCGCGAAAATGTATATAGTTTTCTAGTGTCAAACAACTATGATTACGTATTTGGATGACCGGTAACGTAGCTTTAATTGAAATGGGTGAGATAACGAGAATATTTAAAGCCTTCTGTTAGTTAATTTTAGATAATTATAGTTCTAACTATTTCTGTTTGCACTTCAACCTCCGCTTTGATCTGCAGTGTTAGCGGGAGGGAATCCAAATCTTTATTTGAATTGTTATTTCCTATATTATTTCTAGTTATTGGGGAATACCTTGTATATAATTTTCTCAGATTCGCCGATTTTGGAAACTGCTTTTTTAAGGACTAATATAAAAATTATAATAATTTGCTTTAATTAGTTGAATACTGGAAATAAAAAAAACACTACGACACCTTTTGATGGTATCCAATAAAACGGCCCAGAGTGTTGGCGTTGTTGACAACGTTGAAGTGAGTCAGTCGTGCCGGTTTCGGCTGCCCCGTTGTACCCTACGTGAATGAATAAATGCCCATAGTTAACAATAATGGCAACCTATGAAAACGGGATGGTGTTTTGAAAAAAGTATTTATACTCCATCACGTCTTTCCCGAACAGAAACGCAAGGTTCGCTTTTGAGTAGCTAGGTTTGTTAGTAGCACCACCGGCGAAAAAGGTAATAAATAATGCAGATTTATTTATTATCTCTGAACATGAAAATATAATAGCATTATACCTTCCCCAAATAGATGCCGTGAGAGTCATAACAGGGTTATGTGTAGCCATTGCTTCCGTCCAATGAGGCCTCAAGTACCGACCTAACGTTTGGCAGTGATTGCAGCTTCCGTATTACATAGCGACTAGGTTGCATACCTCCTGGCGCAGCTTGCCACATTTGTCCAGCCTGGTGACCAAGAGCGGCGTGCTACGTGGAGCTCGGCCGCCGCCTCCATAAGGCACGGCTGAGCCGGCGCGGAGTCTCTGAGGCTGGCCGCCAAGCTAAAATGATTATTTGGTACTTGTTCTGTCAACGTGAAATCCAGTGCAGTAATTTACTGTTTACAGCTTAGGCTCCGTATTATTCCTTCTGTTCGTGTAATAGGCATTTTATTTATGAATTTATTTAAAAATACTGTCAATTTTTATTCTGATTTTCTACAAATATTTGAACAGAGGAAATAATATTACAAAATAAATAAAGTAATAATAGAAATAGAAACAAAAATATCGAGTCTGTTTTTGTGGACAGGAAACACATTCGAATTGATAAATTGACAAAGTAGCTCGTTTTCCACTGGACCAATAAAAAATCAACACTTGCATACCTAAAAGCAGGGATGGGCAGTATTTCAAATACAAGTATTTGAAATACGTATTTAAAATACTTTGTGTATTTTGCATTTGTATTTAATTACAAATTGGGTAATGTATTTGACGTGTGTATTTAAATACTAAAACGTGGGTATTTCAAATACAATTCTAATTAAATACAATTTTTGGGGGCAAAAATACATTCTCAACTTTATTGTCACTGTCCAGAGCAGGAAGACAACTACGTTCTGCACTGAATGCAGTGTCTCTCAATCAAGCACAAGCGTTTAGTGACATTGTGATTACGGTGCTAGTTCAGGGCAAGAATAGTGACGAAATCGACGTTCACAGGCAGACTGGCTAAATAAGTGCCTGTGACAACTTGTGATGCTTTCCAGCCTGATTTCCATCTATATTTTTGCCTGGAACATTCTAAGTGCGCGGGTCGTCCAGATTTTCGTAACTGGTGTGAGTTGCAACAATAAAAAATTCTCTAGATACAGTGCTCCGTCTTGGTCGTCTCGGTTCTTTGTTGATCTATACCAAAATGTAATCGACAAAAAAAGCTGCTTGAAGCTCTGTACTTTTTTCACCTATTACGTCCAAGCTGATGACATTTTTTTGTGATTATATTTCTATTACGTTACTTGAGCCTCGCACATTAACTCCCGAGTGTGCGATGCAAAAGTAAAATGAGATACCCAGAAACTCGTTGCAGGTGCCCTGAAGTCGCTGACGCACATTTTGAGGAATGTACTTGGAAAAGTATTTGGAAGAGACCACATACATTTGGTTGTATTTGTATCTTGTACTTAAATGCTTCTTTGGAAATGTAATTAGATTTGTAATTAAATACTTTTTTGACGAAGTATTTTGTATTTGTATTTCGATACATATTTGCATGTATTTTGCCCATCCCTGCCTAAAAGTGTGCCTATCTGGGCTGTTTTACTCTCTTATAACTTAATGATAGCATTTGTATCTAAACTGTTATTATTAAAAATACTCAACAAGTGTGCAGCCACGCTTACGTGTAATGGCTATTGCTTCTGATAGCGTAACGTACTTTATCTTATAAATTTTAGATATGTCGTTCAAAAGAACTAAAATTTCAGTCGACTCACTTTTGCGCGATCGGCAATAAACCAATGTATTTAAGTAGTTATGCTGTCGAATCAAAACGGCTGTCCGTATTTCTGGTTATAAAATTCAACTGCCGTTCTCAAGATGTTTCTCGTGGTACTTACATTGTCCTATGAAAGCGGGAACAATGATATAATGCCATGTTTCTGTACTGGACGCACAGGTATCGTGTTTGCTAAAAGCTTTAGAAAACCCCGAATCCATATCAATTTATCTGACCTTATAGGACGTAGCGAGAGGCCCTACTAGGTCATCGAGTGGAGCACGTTAAAAACGCCAGGCTGGCGAGTGTACTGCACTGGCTAAATTCATCTACTACAGCTGAGAGACACGCCCCACATGACTAACATTCCGGATGTCTAAACTTACCTACAAAAAAATAACTCACCAGGTCATACAATTCAAAACAACGGTTATGCTATACTTCGACTCCCAGATCTAGGAAGAAAGAAGAGAGGCTGCTCCAATTCGCTTACGGCATCGTGATGAAATTTGAATGCTCAGTCTCATTCGATAAAATGAACCATCCAAGTTATGTCGTATAATTTATTTTCATAAATTATTTTGTAAATATGTGACACTATCCTATACCTGCTTACACATTACGGCAATGTGATGGGCAGCATATACACAACAATCCATAACTAGAAATAAGTTCCACTTTTCTTTTTCAGAATGCAAAACAGCAGAACTATAACACACCCTATGTGTCAGCCTTATTTTTTTTTTACAACTATTTATGTTAACCAAGCATAAAGCACTGCTTCTGGGATTTAGAGCCCTAAACAATTATTCATAAAATAAAATGCGATGTCTCGGATTCGGTTTGAGCGTAAAATTTAGCGCCCCCCCCCCCTTCTTTCCAATTGTTTGTGTCGTTCGGTGGACTCTGGGATAATAAAGGGGTGTCGTGGCGTTTTCTGCAAGAGTGAATTTATAAAACCAGTGAACATGTCGCTCAACATTTTCGGCAACCTCTGTGATTGAATAGCTGTTCGTAGAAGGCGGTGGAACTGTCATGACCACCACTGCGTGGCCTCCACCTGGTGCTCTGCTTCATAGAAAGCCATGGCATTTGTGTAATTTAGGGATATTGCTTATCGTGGGACGCTAATGTTCTCAAGCTTAAAATAATTCATTTTTAAACACTTACTGAGGAAAACTGGATAAAAGCGTCTTGGTCGAACTGCACTTTGGCAGAAAAAGAGTTCATGATGGCGTGGTCTTCAGCCGTTGCAGAATTCATCAGGTCATTGAAAGTGATGCTGCCGCTGTGGGAGATGAAAGTGTCGATTAAACGATATTTACATGCTGGCAGAACCTCTCTGCGAACCTCGCAGTCATCACCGTTTGCTTAGGCTTAGGGAGCGAACACTAAACTTCTACGCAATACATCAATCGAAATGCCTTTTAATTCTTGCCACTAAGTCTATTCGAAATTTAGACAACATTCAAACAAATATGTTTGCTTACTTTAAATAAAAATTCATAAAAGGAAAACAGAACACTACTACATTCTATATAGAAAGGATGTTTGAGTAGTGAGCCTTTTTGCGAAAATTTGTTTTGAAGAATGGCAGTTTAAGCATTCTACATGTATCCCCGCTCTAGAATTGATGTCCTTCGTTCAGCGTTTAGTGCTGCCAAAACGCGAGAAGAAAAATTAACTTGATCAGAGGTATAGAATCGGTACAGAATATGCGTTTCTGCAGAATTCGCTGGAACTGGTTGCAGACCTCTGTTGTTATGCAGATAGAAATTGGGCGAGATAAAAAGGAGAGACAGAAAAGTACATGATATCGCGGGGGGATGTCGGAGCACTGAGCTCTGGTTAAAATTATTACAGTGTGGATGTAAAGGTCGCTGTGTTTGTCTCTAATCACTGTTCAAAGGAAACGCCGAACGCTGGCGTTTCGCGTTTGTCTAGAAACAATGAATGGACGGGTCGTTTCCTCTTCGCAAGTCTCCATCTGGCGCAGTGTTAGTGTCAGGCCCATGAACAAGGCGTCGTGAGGTCTATTTCTGTCGGGTCGCGATTAGAGTTTCGTTTTTGTTCTTAATTACTCTCTCTCATTTTACATTGTGTCCTTTCGTATAGATTGTCGTCTAAAGTACGTGTTTAAAATTTAATACCGGTTCCTGTGTCATTTCCTCACATTCTCCGTGGGAATCACAGCACTTAACCGCATTGTGTATTAAAAGACCAATTTGTCTCATACCTCAAACCACTCACACGCTGCGGCCATGACGGCGTCGCCACTATAGAAATGATGTCTTTTCACTCGTGGTTTCAGGGCAGGAAATATATGAAACACCGGCAGGCCAATGTCAGATCATCCTCTAACTGACTAGACCTCCAAACACTGAATTTTCATTCAAATGTCGGAAAGGATGGATAATATATTTGGATTTATTTAGTACAATATTTTAAATAAAATTTTTCTAAAATACCATTAACATATACATTTCGCAAGTCGCCTTTAGATAGAAAACACAAACTATTGAACGTAATACAAATATTCGTATGTTAAATACTGGTATCTATACAGCAGAATTCATTCCCCCGATAAGTTCCGTTAAAACTTTAGACAACACTAAGACTAACGTAAAAAATGCATTGCGCAGTAAGTCACCCAGCTCAATACAGCTTAAATAACCGCCATTGCCGGATTTGGAATTCTTCCAATTTCTGTATATTGCCGCGATCATGGCGTTGCTGAACTGAGTTCACACTCTACGGACCCATTACTTTATTTTAGCAAACGATGTTTTCCAGGAATGGTCGAGTCTCATATCGTGAATAATTGCGTGTTGAGACTAATAATTATTCTAAACATAGCGCGTGTACGATACAACCCATAGCACATAGCAGGCTAGTTCAAGTCAGTCGTTCTTGCGTGGCCGACGCAAGATTCTGGTACCTTTCTCGTGAATATTGTGGGCACAAGTTTGCCTCATTAAACATTCACTTCAAATTTCAAATTCTTCTCATGTGTTATGCATTACTCACTCGTTAACTTCATTGTCATTACAAACTGACATATTCTAATTAGAGTAACACCAGCCACTGAGTCATGTGTGTTTTAATTATACAGATGGGTCACCGTTCATGTTAGTTTGACAATATTTTGTTGGGACACTGAAGACAAAAAAAATTAAGGCAAACATGTTTGCAAGAGGTTATATAGCAGGAAGCATTTAGTATTTGATTGCGAGTGAACTACTCAGATGCAGAGATTTTATCTGAATAGCGATGAAAGAAAAATAAAGGTTATTTTATTAATCCCATTATACAGCGGAAACAATTCAGAGGAAGTTACCCTATAAAGCATTTATAGCTCTGACACTCACATGTGCCATTTTATGGTACTTACGGCATCCGGTCGTTGCCGATGGTGATGACGTGTTTCAGGAACGGCAGCCTGGAAGGACGCAGGTTAGGTTATGGCAGATCGAAAACATCCACGTGATCAAAAACATCCCAGCGAGTCTCACGTGGTTTAAAAATATGACACAGCCAGCTACGACTGAATTGTCACCTTTGGATGTTCAGCTCTCTGGGCGATGACTTCTCCAGTTCCGGTGCAATTTGTAACAACATCTCGTAGTACTTGTTATTAAGAAATTTTTCCCCAAGGAACAGAACCGCACACTCTGTCTGAAAGCAATAGGTCCTGTTTTTACATAAAGACGACACCAAGCGGCAAAAGCTCGAAGTGTCATTGGAGTCTGGAAAGGTAGTTGGCAAAAGGGCTGTACAAACCTGACAGCATCCTGATTTGCGGTTAGACGAAAACATATTTTTTAATGGTTTCCTCGATCCGTTTCGGGTCGAAAAAGTACGGTTTGGTCCCGACGACGCAGCGGCGCGCAGACGGCCGGAAGGGCCAATGAAGCGACTCCACGGCGGATCGCAGGGCAGCCAGTAGAAATGTGTTCCATTTCAAGAACAACGCCAAAAGAAAATAAAGGAGAAAATTGATGTTGTTGCAGGTTTCGCTGGCCGCAAAAGGAAAGAAAAAAAAAACACATCGCTATGCAGACCAGGAGTGGAGGAAGAAAAAACTCCCCAATTGTACGAATTTCGTGTGGTAAGCTTCGGAGGAGAACAGAACAAACAATCAAAGGCGTTTACAGATCTCTGTTATGCGAAATTAGAGCGCAGCTCTTGAGGAGAGAGAGGGGAGGGTACAGAGGGGATGGTATGCCTCTCCTCCTCGTCCTTTCGTTGTCCTCCTCCTCTCCCCTCCTCCTCAACCTCCCCTTATCCTCCTGCCCTCCTCCTCCTTTCCTCCTCCTCCTCCCATTCTACTCTCCTCCTCCTCCTTTTCTCCTGCCGCTCTTCCCCTCCTTCCCTCCTCGTCCTCCTCCTCCTCCTTTTCCCTCCTCATCTTCCCCCTGAATTGGTGTATATGTGACGTGACGTGACGTTAATTCTTCGCTAAATTTGGCTGGCAAACAGAACTGATGTTGTGGCCAAAACACGTTAATTTTCCACTCTAAATTTAGCGTGAAGGCTGAGTTGACCTTTTGGTCACGTGCCGTGAATTTCCCCAAGGTGCATAGGTCACGTGACGTCAGCTGGCGTCACGCGACGCCACTTCCCCGACACATGTAGCCGGGAAACTTAATTGGTGTTTAGGTCAGGTGACGTCGATTTCTCCGCTAAATGTCGCCGGGAAACAGATGCGGTAAGCATATACCTTGAAGTCAGGTCACGTGACATGCAATTTCTCGCTAAATTTAATTGAGAAAAACTTAATTGGTTTATAGGTCTTGTGATTTCAATTTCCCCGCTAAATTTGGTGGGAAAATTGCAAAGCCCCGAAATTTAATCTATATTTATTTCTGAATCCAGAGAGCAGGAGCCGGAGTGTTTCGCCACTGAAGTCGCAGTTTACGAAAACACTTTGAATCTCCCGCTTAAGGCAATTCGGAATTCAGTATGGGTTGAACCACAGAGTACTGTGTGGCGTCATCTGCGACCTATCTAAGTCGCGGAAGCAGGATGCGGGAGAAGGAGTACAACTCCTCTTCCCGATGCCAAGAGTAGTTCGAGAATTCGCCCCTCTTGGCGCAATAACAACTTATGTTGTAATATTTCCTGAGAAGCACGCAGCCGTAGAATATATTTAAAAGTTCTGCTAGTTTATAATGTTATCCACGGATTGTTTCAAGTAACGAACGAACGCACGAAGGAGCATCAGTTTCGCTAGTACCGCAGTTTTATTCGCATATGGCGGGGAAGTAGCATGGGTGAAGAATGGCAACGCATCACTCCGGCCTGTAAATGCGCGCCCTAGACGCTGAGTGGAGGTTAATCCCAACACGGACTATATTGTCACAAAAGGATTTGAGGTCAAGTACATAAAAAGTGATATTAGCAATCCCAACCACCTAACACTGTCAGGATCAACAAAAGCCTATTGTTACTTTTCTATTTCTTTCTCTTTTTTACTGTTGGCCTCACGAGCGCGAGCGAGACTCTTGTCATCATAATATCATGTGCGCTCCGCTGTGTCGTTCTTTACAACCGTCATCCTCCTCGGTATTCAAAGATGCGGGGGATGACGGTTACCACGAAGGGTAGTGCAGTTACAGTTGGTGGGTTTGAGTCCTTCCACACCGTACACCAGAAACGGGATCACCACACAAAAGTTGTTAGTTCCAAGTTGCCTGATTACTCAAATTGGACCTGACCGTCCACATTGAAGTTTTGCTGCTATTAGTGAAAATATTAATCTTTTATTTCATTTTTTCATTATTACGAAACAAAACAAAGGGTGAAAAAGAGGGCAAAAAGCTGCTACTGCTGCTTGACGTGGCCCTAGTTCCCATACACACTATGGCGGAAAAACAGCGTAAAATGAATATACACTACACTCCAAAAATCAAATATACTGCAGCATTTCACTCCAATCATTGTACCTGTGTATGTAGAAAGACAACTAAAAGAGATATGCTGCTTAGATAGAAAAATTTTACAACAGAAGCGTGACACCACACGGTATCATTTAGAAATTGAGATTGTACTAGTATGTCCGCTTACATTCGATTTGTCTTTCTAAATATACCCACATCGTGTCGCCGACGTGTCTTTTAGCTCACGGTCTTTGAAGGTCGACTGAACGATGAGACATCCTAGGCCTATCGCGTTAATAAGTCCTTTCAATACCTCTATTATCTGAGGTAACCCTCTGAGGAAGTGCAGCAACAATGAAAACAAGATTTTGTGCTTAATATGGCTTGTACATGTAAAATTGGTTGCGCAACAATTTTTGTACATTCAGTAAATATCGTCAAGGACTAAACCCTGACGTTGATAACTTGCAAAATCACCCATTAGTTTTCCACTCCGCGCGATAGCAGACGCAGAAAAAGCTAAGGAAAGCAACATCTATCCCCTCCTCAACTGGCGGTTACAAAAAGGGGCCACGTGATCTGAACCAAATTATGTACGTCAGTGTTTATCAAAGTCATGCACTGGGGTTGAGAAAGCATAGACAATGAGTTGAGCTCCCGTCATTGTTAGACCTCGGCTATTCTGATCTTTTAATGAATATCCGCGAATAGCCAAATGTCTGGCAGAGCTGATTGTAATTAACCCTTGCACTCGACTCGAGCTCATGGCAATCGAGTACGCCATGTGTTATGTAGCCCCCACCGAACTCGATGTCATGTGACGTCACGGTGTTAATAACACTAATTAATCTAGTGACGTTCTTAATTTAAATGGAGTTGACGCAGTGAGTCACTGAGGATGTCACGCGAATTCATGGTGCCACGTGACGTGACATTACTTGACAGCATGGCAACCACGTGACCAGGTGACACCTAATTAAACATAGTGCCAGTACAAAGAGCAACGAAAACCCACAACTCCTCATACCAATTTTGCATACGATGATGGATCAATACATTGAAATACAGAGCTCTTCCGATTTCTTATTCTCAAATATTCATTTTTTGATAATGACAAAAAATGAATAAAAAAAATGACCGTGAACCGTTTTGAATAGGTTACCGTTATATTTTCTTCCGATTCAGTTTCGGTTCAGTCCCAAGATGTCGGGGAAGAGTTCGGTTTGGTTCAGTTCCGGTTCGGCTAAAAATAACGGTTCGGTTCCGGTTTTGGGTTCGGTTCGTTTGCAGTTCGACACCCTGTTTTCTGCTTCATAACCTTCGGCAGCTTTTCAGAAGTGAAGACTGCGCGTGCAAAACTTTGATGGCCGCGCAGAATGTGCAAGCGCACGGGGCCCTAAAGCTTTGACTCACAGCTAGTCCGCAAGAAGGTGAAATTATGATATAGAGTGGCTTCAGAGTGCTGAAGCTCGGCACTGTTACAAGAACACGTAAATATTTTTTGTGTACCATCCAGAAGCTGCGCTACTCTTGGCAACGTAGCGCGTACACAGATTTCATGCATAGCGTGAGCCAATGTCACCATACAAGTGCAATCCGACCACACACTTTGTAGAGACACATCTCTACTCTCCTTCTTGCACGGACTCCGCCGTTTGCTTTGTGTTCACACTGCAAGCCATTTTCAGCAGAAACACAACATACCCGCGATTTTTCATTTTAATTCGAAAGCACATTGACGTACGTTAATTTGTACCACTGAGGTCAGTCACTCAAAAAAAAAAAAAAGAAGCACTTTCGCTGCACTAATACGCTTTATTGTAATCACTAAATTAAAAAGAAATGGTAATTGTTTTTGGGGTTGAGAGAATCGTGCAATCTACTCGGGTCGAATTATATCTGTGGAGCTTTTCTTCGAGCAAAACTCGAAAATCGCAAGACGGCCTCAAGCCTGTGAGCGCATAATAATGTAGAATTTGACCCTAAAAGGAGAAACGGCTCATGTAAACGAACGCTGGAACAATTAATAAAATCCGCACCTTTGTGAGTGCTTGTTAAGTGGTCGTTATTATTGAAGGTTATTCGCGGCGTGAAATTTAGAGTATCTCCGCCTGGTGGAATATTTTCACAGCCAGGAGTGAGGAGACTTCAACTCCCTCTGCTGCTGCAAGCACGGGCAATGCCAAGCTTTTATGATCTATGAAAATTAACACATACCCGCATGGGTAGCACGAGCACTACCCATAGTGAGGAAAACAGAAGCGCCCCTAGCGAACCTCTCACCGAGAATGATCACAAATCGTTAAGGCGGGGTAAATTGGAAGACTATAGTAACTAATTTGTTGCTAAATAATAAACTCCTTGGCGCCCATACTTTTGCTAGCCAAGCTAGATGAGCGCGTGAATGCTTCCCGGATGTCAATGTTTCCGAAACATTTCGAGTTTCACGGCTGGGTTTGTGCCTAAAATGGGGCGTGCTTATGTGGCGGTTTTCTCGCGAGTGATTTATTTCGCATGCATACTAGTTTACTCAATTCTGCTAGCCAAGTTAAATGAGCGTCTCAGAGATTACCGCATTTCAATGTTCCCGAATAATTTCGAATTTCACGGCTCGGTTTGCGCTGAAAATGGGGCGTGTTAAAGGGTGGTTTACTTTTCGCGATTTGTTTCGAATAATAATATTTTACAGTACTGGGTGGGAAAAAGAAGTGACGCTATTCAGAGCGCTTGTTTCGAAACGAACGCCATTTTCACGCTGCTTGTTTACGGGAGGGCACTCCAAGGCGACGCTAACCA